GCTATTTAAAACTCGATCAGCCCATGACACATCAGGACATTTAGGAAGGGATGCAACATACAAATGGGCTTGTGATCAAGGGGTGGACTTGACTATTGATGCCATTGCACAGGTTATCCATGAATGTCAAACATGTGCCATAATCAAACAAGCCAAGCGGCTAAAGCCTTTTTGGTACAGAGGATGATGGCCGAAGCATCAAGATGGGGAAGCCTGGCAGATTGATGACATCACACTACCATGAACCCACCACTGCAAGCACCATGTGCTTACAATGGTGGAAGCAATTACTGGATGGTTGGAAACATACCCTGTGACCCATGCCACTGGCCGGAATACTATCTTGGGCCTTGAAAAGCAAGTTTTATGGCGACACAGCACCCCTGAAAGAATCAAATCAGACAACGGGAGTCATTTCCAAAACAACTCATAGACACCTGGGCCAAGGAGAATGGCATTGACTGGGTGTATCACATCTCCTACCATGCACCAGCCTCCAGGAAAATTGAACAATACAATGGACTGTTAAAAACTGCACTGAGAGCAATGGGTGCTGGGACATTCAAGCATTGGGATACACATTTAGAAGAAGCCACCTGGCTAGTTAACACTAGAGGATCTGCCAGTCTGCACTGTGGAAGGAGTCAAGATCCCCGTAGTACATACAAGGAACTTGTTGGGAAAAACAGTCCGGGTTGTTCCTTCCTCAGGAAAGGGTAAACCTATTCACGGGATTGTTTTTGCTCAAGGACCCAGGTGCACTTGGTGGGTATTGCAGAAGTGTGGAGGAGTCCAATGTGTACCTCAAGCTGATTTAATCCTGGGTGAAAATACTCCATGATTTCAGTTGCATGTTATAGGAATTACTATAGCAGGAACCACCTGACTCAATGGAGGACAAGCCTTACAAGAAGCAGTGCAAGCGCAGCAACGACCTGACCAGAGCTGGCTTTGGGGCCCAGTAATTCCATGGAACACACCACCTCTCCTGTCCTGAGTGACCACCATAACAGAAGTCATGGACTAAATGAACTCAGTGGACATTTTGTGGACGTTTTACAGACATTTCACAGGGTTGGTCCATAGACTAAGGAAATGGTACCTGTGTATTATATCAAAGGATGGGAAGAGGGGTGGCAGTTAATGAGGATGTATTGGACAGTGTGGGACCTGAGCATGACATAAATGGTATGGAAGAAGGGGCGGAGAATGTGCTGGTTTTGGCTGGGGTAGAGTTAATTTTCTTCACAGTAGCTAGTATGGGGCTGTGTTTTGGATTTGTGCTGGAAATGGTGTTGATAACACAGGGATATTTTCGTTATTGCTGAGCAGTGCTTACACAGAGTCAAGGCCCTTTCTGCTTCTTACCCCACCAGCGAGCAGGCTGGAGGGGACACAAAGAAGTTGGGAGGGGACACAGCCGGGACAGCTGACCCCAACTGACCCAAGGGATATTCCATGCCATATGATGTCATACTCAGCAATAAAACTCGGGGGAAGGTTGTCCTGGGGGCTGCTGCTTGGGGAGTGGCTGGGCATCGGTCAGTTGGTGGTGAGCAATTGTTTTCATTTGCACCACTTGTCTTTCTTGGATTTTATTTCTCTCTCTTTGTTATTTTGCTTTTCATTACAATTTTATTATTATTATATTTCAATTATTAAGCTGTTCTTGTCTCAACACATGAGTTTTCTCACTTTTACCCTTCCAATTCTCTTCCCCCCATCCTGCTGGTGAGGGGAGTGAGCAAGCAGCTGTGTGATGCTCAGTTGCCAGCTAGGGTTAAACCATGAGACCCCGCTCAGCATCTCACCCTTAATTATACTGTCATTTCTTTACTTATTTTTAAATGGAGTTCTTAAGAGGACATTCTGAGGGTTAAAGCTTCTAATAAAAAAGTTAGTGAGAAATGGTTAATGAGTGTTACTCTGCACAACCCTCCCCCAAAGGTATGCAAACTGGGAGAGAGTGGGGACAAACAAACCCAAGAGAACCAGGGGTAAAACTGAAAAGTTAGGTTTGTGTGCACAGGCATTCCTGTAGCAAATTTGGTAAAGGCAGCCTAATATGATTAATGATTTGCATGTACATTTTGGTGAAAGCTCAAGGCAAATTTCTGAAATCTAAGAAATATATATGTCCTAACATGCCTCCTAAATGCCCAGCATACGCTGAAAAGAAATAAAACAATGCCAAGCAGCGTGCAAACATTTGCCTGCAGATGACTGATGATTTTCAACAATAATTTCATAAATGTGGCAGACTTGAGCATATCCCATGACTATTCTTCCGCTGCAATCCCTGGGAGTTCCCACTGACACCAGTGTGGGGCTGCCCGGGGCCACCAAGGGAGATGGGCTCCAACCGGGGCAGCCTTCATTGGGCAGAAGCAAGGGATGGGATTGTCAACAGCTCTTGAGTCAGCAAGAGAAATGGCATTGAAAATAAGCTGCAAATGAAACAACACACCCGAAACAACCTGAAAGTTTCTGCCAGGATTGAGTACAGCCAGAGGTGCAGACACTGCTCTCTGCAATGCTTCTGCACCCAGCAACGCTTGTGCAGAGCAGGTAGCACCGAGGGCCAGACGGCCATGGCATAAATCACACCGGTCGCTGGAGACAACTTCCAAAGCTTGAAACGATGTTTGCATGAGAACAAGATGTTGAAATATTGATTAAAGTTGGATTTCATCAGCAATACTTTGATTTTATTATTATACTGGCTGCTAACAAAGACACACCCATTAATGCGTTACATTCTTGCTTGTAAAAGGGTGATTATTCCACTATTCACGCCAGGCTGCTCCGCTTGTATCCACAGCCAGTGGCTCCAGTACAGGCACTCATCAGAAAAATAAAAAGACATCATGATTTCAAAAATGAGGCAAAAACACGGAAACAGGCACATGCTGGAACAGTGCAGAGACTGGGTCCAAGCAAAAGTCTGCATCCCAGGGAAGGAAGGGGTAGGCAAGGGGGAAGACTGAGCACTTCACCCCAGTTTAAATCCAAAGTAACATGCCGAAACCAAAGAGTTACTCATTTTATCAATCTAAATGAAATGTTGGAGGGGGAAAAAAAGCACTTTGAAAAAATTACCTAGCAGGTGCCAGTTTTCCCGCTGCTTGGCTTTGTTCAAGGAATAATCGTACATTCACGGAGAGTTTTTCTGATCTTATTATGCTAGTTAATTTTCAGTGCCAGGGATAAGGGTGGAAAAGGGATGGGAAGAATACCATTAAAGCCTGTGTCTTCCAGCATTATTGTTCTAAAACTCATGCTTAGGCAGAATAAAACAGCTATCTGAGGCAATATAGTGTTTACATATACCCAAATTGTTATGCAAACACAGGAAGACCTATTGGAGCAGAGGGAACAGGCACCGAGAGGCAGCACTTCTCACCACCCCTTGCAGAAAAATGTTTTTCAATGTGGAAAGGGTGAGAGAGGTCACCCCCAAGGAATCCAGCCCAGGATCCTCCCAGCCTTCGCCTCTCCCATCCTCCTCCTCCTCTCAAATTCCCCAGCGCAGCCAGCACGGGTTTCAGAGTTAAAGAGACAGGCTCATTATCCAGCAACATTGTCTGGGGGCTGAATTCGCATGAGGAACCTAAAAAGCAGGGAGAAAGGAGGGAGAAGCTGTCCTGTATGGAATGGGATTCACTGCCTGCCCTGCGCAGGCATTTCATGTCATGCTTCCCTGTAGGCCTGCAGAAAATGAAGCCACAGAAATTAAGGGGAGACTTCAAAGAGCACACAGGAGTACTCGGCATCATTCAAGTGCAATTATTTTTAGATTAAATCCATCTTGTGTCAACATTAAATACTTAAACTAAAAAAATCAGTCATGAACTCTGGAGTCACACCTTTAATTCTATCTGTAGTTGGTACAAGAGAAATCATAGACAAATGTCTGACGAGTCAACTTTAACCTCCAGAGGAAGCCAGAGACTTTCACCAGCCTACATCAACCAAGCTTTCAAAAAGTTATCGCTGATGGAGAGCTAAATCAATCCCTGAAATATATCCTCAGTGCTTGAAAAATGTCTCATTGCCAGTCTGAGCTCCATCACTTTTGCTGCTAGATCACTCTACAGAATAAAAGCTCCCCACCAGCCAGAAACCTCCTCTCCACCCAGATATGTGACCAAGTCACCTCTCAACTTCTCTTTACTAAACTATATAAGCCAAATTTCATTAACTTCTGGCTGTAAGTCAAATTTCTACAGAGCACATATTATTGTTAGCATTTTGAGTCCTCTAGTGTGCCGAAAACAAATCACACACACCAAAAGTGGAGATGCTATTTCCAGAAGAGTCTCACTACCACCACCTCCCCATGGACATCCTCCCCCAGTCACCCCTCAGTGTCAGTCATCCTCCCAAGATAAAGACATTTGCTGCCATCACCCACAGCATCCTCCTAAAGTCATTGCTATCAAAAACCCCAGCTCTTCATCCTATAGAGGAAACCCGCATTCACTCTCTTGAGATGTATAACCTTCCTTTGATGATATGAAAAGAGTACAATTCAGCTTTAGCAGCCTGCATGTAGCTTGAAGACTCACCAGCAAGGATTTCGTGTCTGGCAGGCTGTGAATGCCACTTGGTTGAGAACACATTCCTGCAGGACACCACCAGAAATGTCCCTGCGGCATCACTCCCCGCTGTGACCAGTTTGTGAGAGCTGGTAGCCAGCAAGTTTTTTAAACCTAATTAACACGTACCAAACTGATTTCATACAGTTCTACAATTTCCAATCAGAATATTGTGCAATGCTGGAGTCAAATGGCTTAAGGAAGTTAACTATATCAACACACAGCATGCGCAGTGAGTCAAACCTGCAACAGCAGCTAAGGTCACGCTTGAGTTTGGAGAGGTGGGGGTTTTTAGTTTTTAAAAAAAGCTATCCTTGGGAGGAGCACATTGCACACAGCTTCTGAGTGCTAGACTGGTTTCTCATCATTTAATAACAGGATTGTGCTCAAGCCATTTCCTACCACAGGACGTTGATTTCTTATCCACCAACTTCACATGCCGCGTCTGGTTGCGAAGCTTGTCATCTGTGTTTTCAACCAGGTTAGTGAGGTCATCGATGATCTCTAGGGAAAGAGAAACATGAGCATTAATCTCCAAGCCCCACAGCATCACTGCTCAACATGCACGCTCCTGCTGGAGGCTCCAAAATGGAAACCAGCTGCACCCTTTTATTTTCCAGTATGACAGACCAGTGATCCACATGCACTGAAAGGTCCAAATCCTGGGAAGTACTACACAAGAGACTTTGACTTCAGATTCAGTGCACTCCTCCACTGCAAGAGTGAAGGAAAAAAAATACAGCCTGAAACAGCAGGATCAGTCTAGGTAGCCATGAAGTATAAGATGATGGCAGCCACCATACACTAGCCAAAGTAAGAGAATTAATGCATATGCTATAGGAAATCTGAAATTTCAGTCCCTGGAACAGAGAATCTCAACACTTGGCCATTACATAGTCATTAAAACACATCCAGAATCACCATCTTCATTAAGTGCTTTTGAGAGCATTTGGTGCGGTCCCAACCAAGCGACCACGGAGGATACAGTCAAAGTTCTGCCTTGGTTCAATTACTGAGATGTACGGCTGGCAGTTCTGCTTGCAGCCCAGACGATCCTCTGGGAAAAGGAAAGTGAGCAAAATTTCTCCTACATCTATTTTTAATAGAGGGGAAAGGAAAATTTGAAGCCAACCCACCTTCAACCTCATGCAACTGATGACTTTAATTTTGTCATGGAAATCAGACCAGGTACAAGGCCTACACCAAGAGTGGTTGATGGGTTGGGGTTTTTTAACACTGAAAATTAAAAGGCACATTCAGACACTGAATTTCCTTCTTGCTGATTGTTATGCTCTAATTTTCTTGAAATACACAGCCAGTGCTTCTTGCTGGGTGTATGAATACATTGCGTTTGAGTGGCTTTCTACTCTGCAGGTAGGAACAGCTTTTTTTGTGCATGATAAACCAGGAGGAGGACACCAGCCAAAACCTGAATGCTATTGCAAAGCATCTTGCTCTGGTTACACTTCTAGCACTTTCCCCACTATTGATCACTGTCTTAATAAATCTAGCCTGCCTTTTGAGATCAGGTCAGGGACAGAGCCGTGCCAGCTGGCGGCTGCTGTGCTCTCAACTCATTTGTACTCTGGCAGATCCTAGCACTGCATCTCTGCACTGCAGCGCTTCTGAAACATCCAGGTTTAATGGACTGTAAGCAAAAGCAGAAGTTAGAGCACACAGTGTTCAGTTAGCAAGATATACTAATATACCGTTCATTTTTATGCATCATAACCCTGTATACTTTCAAACAAGAGACTTCCCAAGTATCTCTACTAGAAACAAGGGGATGACACTAAAGAAAGCATTCCTTGTACTTCCAAAAATTCCCTGTGACACTAGAATAAAACCTTGAGCTTGCAAGGTGGTGCCAATATGTGACATTAATTCTTGCAGCTTGTCAAGAACACCTGTACCCCTCTGCTGGCCATCACTTTTATACCAGCACTTGAAAGGGAACAGTTTCCTCTAAAATTCACCTTCCTGCACCAAAAGATGTAAACTATGCAGGGTGCCTATGTCCTCAAATCTTACCAAGTAACAAGCATTGCTCTAGATACAGAGATAAAACCAGTCTGATTATACATACAGATACAGAAAACAAATATAAAATAATCAAAGTTCTGAAGACACAAAGGAAATTTTCAAAGGCATATATAGCACAGAGGTTTTACCCTCCCGGAGAGCTGGGAGATTTAAGCATCATCCTTTTAATGCATGCTTTTTAAGTCTGCCCCACAAGCACTCTACCATCTCCAGCAAATCCCTATGTAAAATGATATCAGCATCTCAAAAATCTTGTACTTTGAAAATACACATCTTTCTTAAAACATGAGCTCCCGATTCATGTCCTGCAGCCTAAACCATCTAAGCATTCACATGAAGGGAGGGCAGAGGGCAAACATGAACTGCTTCTCTGTCTGGGCAGCCTCCATTTTATCCTATATATCTAAACCATTCACCACTCCTGTGGTTAAGGAGCATCACCCCACCAATACTGCTCTATTCCAGACACAAACTCTCTGTATTTGTAAAGTTGTTTATAATACTCAAGATTTTACTGTTCATCCTACACCAAAACACATTTTCCCAAGTGATGGCAGGTTCTTTATTTGAACTTCAAGATTTGTTCAGTTTGTAGTTCAGATATTAATTCTCCTCCCCCTCCCACCCAACTTTCCCAGGTCTAACATCTGCAAAGCCAACAACATTTTGGGGAAACTTTATCTGTCTTGTGTGATTCAGCACACAGGAAAACCAGCACAATGCTGCCTGCAAAGGCAGGCTTTCTCATGTTTGCCTCTAAATGAAAAAAAGTGCCGAAAGTTCCCATCGTTGTCAAGGACAAAGTGATAAGCATGCTTGGGAAATAAGAGACCTTCCTTTGCCAACACTGACCAGACCCTCCTTGAAAAACATCCTGGTGAACAAGCTGTAGCTAAATGAGAACAAATGCAAGCAGGAAAATTTTCTGTCATCATTTCAAAGCCCAAGGCATTGCAATTGGGATTATGTCTAGAGCCTCTGCTCTCCCATCCCCCTGCACAAGCCATTCCCCTCTCAGTCCAACCAGGAGGAGCCACTTCTGAACCAGAGAACTGAACTGTACAGCTTAGGAGAAGCGTTTCTCCATATCTATATGTCTGTTGATACAGTCAGGTTTCAGGGGAGCAGGCCACTTCACCAAGCACATAGCTCAAAGCTCAAAAAGCAACCAGTCCTTTGTTGTAACGTGCAGTTAAGACCAGAAATGTCGGGGTGCTCATGGCACAACCAGGAGGTCTGAGCAGGGTCTTCCCCTCCGCAGCCGTGCTGGGGTTGGTGTGGGAGAAAGCACAGGGAGGTTCTTACCCCATCACCAGTTGAATCAGGATTCCAGCCCAGCAGGTTCCCCAGACCACAGTGCGCTTGCAACCCCCAACACCCTGCAGAGAAACATCCACCCCTCTTCCTCCACCAGCACGCTGTCGTGGTGACACTCAGGTTCAGAGCAGCTCTCAACCTTCATGTACATTAAAGAATTTCTCCCCCACTCTAATGCAAAGGAAACACAACGGAAATACATGCTGTATAAGGCAGAACTGAAAACTAGCAATTAATTTCTAAGGTAGGCAGAGCTGCTGCCAGAGAAAACTAACTCCACGGCTAAGAAAGCCTTTAGAGCACTGACAATCCTACATTAGCTCTCAGTAGGCTCCCGAGGACCACATCTTCTGACAGATGACCCACCTCCAACCCCCTTTGCCCTTCAAGCTGGCTATTACATTCAGGATGAGAAATTTTCTATCACCTCCCATTTACCTGACTAGCCAAGGAGTAAGTTTAAAAAAAACAGAGAGAAACCTGAAAAAGGGGAAGGAGCAAGGTTCCCCCCTTGGGAGGGAGCAGACGGGGAAAAGCAGGCTGCTGAAGGGCTGCCAGTGACCTTACAAAGGACGTTTCTGTAACACTGCACTGCAAACCACATTTAAACCGGTAACACAAATTTAGCCAAGGTCTTCTTTCAGTGAAGGAGTATCTTGAGGCAGAAGATAAAACCTACCGCACAACCCTAGTATCAAAATCTGAGTAATTTAAGCCCAGCTGAAGTAGAAGTTTGAAGGCTGCTCATCTGTTGGAGATGAGCTCGGACAGGACCTCCTGTATCAGCAGGGACTTCTGCTTGAAAACCGGTGTCGCAGCCCTGCTCGTCCCTGCACGTGTGTCCCTTTGCTAGGGTTGCAGCCATCAGCCAGGGAGGTACGTTGGCTTTTGAGCTCACCAGCAGCCAAGGCAGCCAAACACGCCAGCACAAAAGTTGCAGGTTTCTATAAGAAGGCAGAGGCAGGTGCGCGGGCATTACCAATTCTCCTCACCTCGTCCCTGTGAGGCTGCAGCAGTGAAACACAAACCCATCTCTACAAATCTTGATGCTTTTCCTGGTGATCAAAGCTATAACATTTGGGCTGGAGCCCTCAAAAGGGCAGGATTTCTTCAGAAGCCTGGTATATATCAGACAGCAAAAATAATGGTGGGCTTTACAGATTTCAGATCAATATATATACACCTTAAACCAGGACAAAAATCATGGAAGGTCTTAATTTTGTGGACACAAGCCCATCTTCAGTCCTGCCCTTGCTCCTCCAGCTATGGGACCAGCAATGGAGAGGGCACGGGCAGCCCTTCAGGGCATTGGGATGAATTGCACGCAGGGGATTTACAAGCAAAGAAAATGCGCAATGTAGAAACAGCAAAGTAAGCAGATGACAGGAGAAAATGTAGGCTGATATATTCCAAAATCTTTGACTTTTTTTTGTTAAAAAGCCCACAGCAGCAGTTTTTGATCTTAGGCAATGTGTTTTGGAGCAATGCAGAGCAGCCAGGCTGAGTGTGGGTCCAGGTTGGAAGAGCTGGGAGAAGCATCCCTGTGGAAGAGGCGGGAGAGGCTGGAAACAGCAGCTGTACAGTCAGTCAGCCTCTCCAGTTCCAACATTATTTCTACCTCCTGAGGAGGAGAGGGGTGTTTACTGGAGAAAGCGTGAGCAAAGTGAGGAAAAGTTCCTTCTGTTTATTTTTTTAAAAAAACAAACACCAAACTGATTTTGGTTTTAAAATTTTGCATTAATCTTAAAACGTATTTTTGGCCATATAAACAAATACAAAAATCATTTAATCAGATCTGAACTTGTCGCTGCATCAGCTATCACAGCCAGAAAATTAAATCTTCTAAGCTGCAGCTGAACACAAAGCGCTTAAAAAAAATTGCTCATTGAATTGCTTCACTGGTCACAGCAAACTGAAGCACTATCAATGCCTACAGTCAACTTTTAAAAGATCAAGAATCCATTGATTGACCCAGATCAACAGTAGACTTACAGAGATATGAGAACGTAAGTGTTAAATATTCCTTTTCAAAGTTTTGTTAAAATGGGAAATGGAAAATGAAAAGTGAAGCAACTGGTCTGAACCCTGGATCACAAGCACTTTCCACTTTGCTCTATCATGCTTGGCTTCGCAATCTCAAATGA